AAAGGCTGTTGATGCTTCCCTAATCCAAGACGCCACGAAATTCCACAGCCTCAAACGGCCATACTTAAGGCAGCCGCCGCTTGCGAGAGTCATGGTATTCCAGTGTTCGGAATGACGACACCAAAATTCGTACTGATACTACCACTACTAATACTACTCACAATCATCCTGCTTCGTGTTGCTATGAACATTACTTTTACCATAAGTGCGATTCCAACTGTTACTTTTTTCCTACAAGAGCTTGCTGCAGATAGTAGCCACTCGCCGCATGCGCGTACAGCCGGGCCGAGGCGGACGACGCGCAGCGTTTCAAATTACACATATAATATATAACATTGTATGTATGTATGATTTAAAGTGTAAGTTTTACAGGGGAGGCTCTATTGAAATAACGCCACGACACTAGTATCATAGGTACTTCTTCGCTTTTCGCCTCTATTGGGACGAGCAAACCCTCTGTCCTCTTCGAGAAGGCAATGTGCAAAGCGACAACCTCGACGGACGATCGACTTTCGTTCAACGCAAATTCATGTCAAAGTCACGGGAAAAGCTTCTGAGATGCCAGCTCCAGATGCTGGCACCTCCCGGAGGCAGCCAAGTATCACGTCTTGACAGGGGGGTCTTTGTGCGTCTTGAAGCTAGGCCTCACCCTGGAGTATGGTGCCGTTTACGTCGATGACCTCGTCATACCCATCACGAAGACTATCCGCCGTACCATGAAGGGTCATTAGAACAGGGTTGGTGGTCTGCACGCCTTACTGGGACTTGCAGAACGGGCATCCTGGCATCTGCTGGAACCGGAGCTGGAACCCGAATCTGCATATTTACATGGCCCAGAACGGCTGGAGCTTTGCTAAGATCAGTCCGGCTGCTGCGGCTATGCGTTGGGCTTTATCTGCAAGCTTGTGGGTGCTATTGTAGATGACATTGCTCAACGACAGAAAAGTCACTCATGCTGGGGGAAGAAGAACATGGGAGAACTAGAAGTCTGTCTCAAGCTCGCCAAGTGCTCCCTGCTATATCTCGCGGCTTTGCCATTCCTGTTCATGACGCCTTTTCAGAATTGGTGTATCGGGCGCTCTGAGTGCTGCAGGGAAAGCACCCTTAGGAGCAGGCGACATCCACTGTGGCATCACCGAAGCAGGAACCCGCCCAACCTCCACAAGCCGGGAACATCAGGAAATCGTATACATGCGTTGACATGAACTTCAAAGTTCTAAGCCATTCGAGACTTTAGGGTCCTGTGGGACAAGCTGAGTCTTGACCCTTCAATCTGAGCTTCACCTACAGAATCTGCTAGCAGTCGGAATGAGTATGACTTCTGTGTTTGGCTGAATGTCCTCCCCGACCTTCTGAATAGGAATCTTGGACACATGAATACGGCGCAGGTTGGGAAACAGAGACAGTTCTGAGCGAAAGGCTTTCCGGAACAGGCTGCGTTGCCAGGGCCAAGTTGCAGTAAGCACCTATCATGCATGCGGGAATGCTTGATGCTTCTGCCGTTTCCTTTCCCCGGGCCACCTGAGGGTAAGGAGGTATTCATGCCGTGAAGCTGCCACGGCGTGGACGTCCCGATTTGGGTCACCCTCAGCTTTCACTCGGTATGCAAAGCACTTCACGACGGTGGCACTTAAGGTTTGTGCCAGTTGAACCCGCGGTTCAACGCAACGAAGGCAGTTTCTTCGACACCTTGTTTCGGCAGCTTACCATGAATGTTTGTCAGATGTTGTCCGCGGCAAAGCCGGTCATCGGTCCCCCTTGTTGTCGTATGCTGAGCATCCGGCCGAAAGCCACATGTCCATAAGCATCAGACCACGACTGGTTGACCTGAGAAGCACTCCTCTTGCCGTCCGTGGACTCTATGTGGTGTTTGAAGCTCCACCTTTGCACCAGGGCCAACAAGTTTCCGGAAGCGGATCAGGCCAGGAACACCCTGCAATTGGAAGGCTGTTACGGCTGGCGCGGAACATCATGGAATATCTGACCCCTGGCAAGACTGGCCTGCCAGCGATGTTCGCAGACCTTACGGGACTTCAAGACCCCGATCGAGCTCCCGGCTGACTCGCAGGCTCATGCAAAATTTCTGCCGTGATTTGCAAAGGTCAGTGCCCAAGGATGTGCTGTGTCCTGCAAGCAGTTGGCTACGTCTCAGGCGGGCTTGCAAGGAACATGGCTTTGTGCATCATGAGAAAAATTTAGCGGAACATGCTAGATCCTTCGAGCAACTACAGCGACAACTTTCACTTCGTCTCCAGAGTATTCCAGAGTCTAGAACGCACAATATTCCTCGCGTGGAAGAGTCCGCCCTTTAACTCCAACAATCCATCACTGATAGAACAGGGTCTTTCATTGTATGATTCTCCATCTGAGGAAGTATCCTGATCGTAAAGCTCGGTTACAGGAGATGTGCTTGGTGTTGTTCTGCATCTCCTGTGGCAGTGTGGAGCCGACTATTGACAGGGCTCTGAGAATCCTACTGGCATGTGTGAAAGCACGGGCCTCAGCGGAGAGCTTGGGCTGTCGTGCAGCGAGTCCGGCTGAACACCAGGAGGCCCTTGATCAAAGTCCTCCCAAGCCTGAGGATCCCTGAAGCTAGTCTGAAGAGCACGTGCAGAGTAAAGCTGCTTTCTGTGTGACGTGCTGCAAATGGACAATGTTCTGGAAACCGAGGGCACGGCATAGGAAGACATCAGCCCTGCATTTCGATTCACGCAATTCCTACCTACTAGTATCCTGCCACAGAAACAGGGCCAGCTCTGCGTACTGCATCTCCATATGGCCATGCCTGAGACAAGGTCGAGAAAGCAGGCAAATAGGCTGACTTTGCAACAGGTTTACAGCTTACATGAGCGGCTGGCCAGCATAAACAACTGCGCGAGATTGTACTCCAGGCCTGGGGCACATCGCAAGACTCCAGGAAGCAACGACAGTTCTGGCAGCTTAGCGCTGAGCCATGCTTGTAGATTGGGCGGCAGTCTGCTACATCCTGGCCCAGTGTAAACGGACGTAAAACAGTGGTATCTCGCTGATGCAGACTACTAACGGCGGCACCGTGGCACGGAAAGTTCGAGAAACGCAGTGCTACCTAGCGTTTACTGACTGGCATCATTTCTTCTGCCTTGCCGTTCCAACCTGAGAGCTCATGAGAGGCTCATGATGCACGTTTTGTTATTTCCGCTCCTTCACAGCTGAGCTTTCCGCGGCACACAGGACTTCCCGGAGGTCCGCCCTTCTCGGGCTTCCAAAGCTGTCTCTGCTGATCGTGGTTGTCGACCTGAGCAGAACGGTCGTGCAGCTACTGCTGTGACGTGAACGCACAGCTTAGCCGATGCAAGCGAACAACAGATCTCAACAGCACCCTCGCATGCCACTGCCGGCGTAAGTAGCAGTAAACTACGCTGAACATGCACATACGGTAGACCAACCCAACGTTCGCATGTTTCTGCACATTTCTGCACACAATACCTATGTCTACCAACGAAAGAAAAACATGCGTCAGAAGTAACCACCTGTCTGATCAAATCGCATACGCCCCCCCTTGACAGTTTGCAGGGTGCATGTGGAAGACTTAGAAATACGACCTGAATTGCGCTTCCCAAACATGCTATGGCGCAAAGACCTTGTGCCTGATGAAATCCAACTTCATTCTCTGAAACCAGCGACAATTCCGTAGAAGCGCACTTCAGAAGCTACTAGTATCGGGCAATGGTAGAAGTATAAGACATCCCTTTAAGGAGCAAGCGAACAGCAAGGAATGTTCCTCGGTTGCACCGGCTACCGGCTGAGAAATCGCAGTCTGCAAAACGCGCTGAGCCGGAGGCTGGTGGGTACACCGTTTTGCAGATCGCATAATCCTGACAGAAACGGGGCATCTCAAGCTGACTCTCTCATATCCCCCAAGCATGCCAGAGCTGCGCAGTCTGTGGATGGTGATCCTATGTGGAGAAGGTCTGCAAAATTCGCAGTCCTGTCACCGTGTGCGAAAAGGACTGTCTGCAAAGCTGCACCTGTGTGGACTGATGCTTTGATTCGAAGACCTGTTCTTCCACTTTCCATCCTGCCATGAGTCGAACAACACCTGGCCACTCAAAGGTTTCTGAGAATCCACGAGACGGTACATCAGGCATGGTCGTGAACTTTCCCGGTGCCACATGTGGCCTGGGCGACTTGTTGACCGAAGTCGAAGTTGGTCAGGGACCTTGACGACAGGGCTATCACCATGACGAAGACTTATGCCCTCGACTCGACTGTCGTGCTTCTCGACTAATTCAAGTCAGTCTCCTGCCCGACGGTGGTTGCTTTTCGCAAAGTGTCCTGCTCGAACCTCCAATGAAGGTGTCTCTCTCTGGCTAGGTGCATAAACGGGTTTTTGGCGGGCTGACAACGAGCTGAGACTGGAGCTTCAGTGGGCCCGGGAAGAACTCCTGCACCTCGGTCCACTGCTCGATGCTGCTCTTTGGGACTGGATCCGTGCTGACGTCCCTGCAACTGAGTGCTGCACGATGTAATCAAAAGGAAAAGGATCCAGGATCTTGAGGAAAGACTCTGGGTAGACCTGCCCGAAGCACAAATTCTGAGTTTGCTCTACCAACAGAGCAGTTGAGTAGCCCACATGCATCGCCGCATCCAAGCGCAGCCTGGTCTGAACGGCATCGAAGTTGTGACCAAAGCATGCCAATGATGGAAAGCATTGCGCTGAATATTCTGCTTTTGCATGTTTCCCGCTTGTCTGACAAAGTCCCCAGCATGGTCACACCCCTCTCGAACAGAACCTGCCGCTGGCAGGAATCCGCACGAGCATTCCCCGCGCTGCTGGGGACCGTTGCCTTCAAGTAGCTCTGGAGCTGCTGCTGGACAGCTACCTGACACGGTCCATGGACAAGAGGTCCATGAGGTGATCGTCGTCGCACAAGACTGAAACTCTACCGAGCTGCACTCTCAGTGTTGAGGTCCACGAGGGCATACAAATCACATAAGAAGCGGTTATTCGTCCAGGGCCTTATGAATGAATCAAAGGGAAATCGAAAACCAGGCACTTCGTACAATGCACTTTGACTTTCAGCTTCTGGCGGAAGACCGCAATTGGACTCGAAATTTCCTGAAACAACGCCAGATGACTGCAAGCGCTACTTTACAAGAGAGCAGATCCTTCATAGTGGTGAAAATCTTGCCGCTCGAAATAGTCCAAGCCAAGCGTGCCTTCGAAGGCTTCTTTGGGTTCTTCTTGGAAACTGATGAATTCACAATATAGGGGCTGGCCGTGTCGAAACTCTCGATTGCCATACCCTGTTCCAGACCAGCCTCAATTATGAGTAATGCTGGAAATAACATCCATCATTGGTTTCATGCTGTCAATGAGGCCGCAACCAACGCAGGGAGCTTTGGATGACGTGGGTGTATCCTGTCGTCATGGCTCGAGAAGCCTGTAGACATGGTAGGCAAGACTCCGGACCATTTGCACGATTGTGCACAAACTTCAATCCAGCAAAACCCCTCTGCGCACCCTTCAGTAAGCCGATACACTAGCAACGGGAGCCTCCGACTGGCCGCACTTCTTGCCACGATCCTTTTTGGGTGATTGCACCAGTGGTGAAGCCTTGGCCGAGGATCAACGAAATGCTGTTCCGTTCATGGTGGGACCTCAAGAATCAGTGGCTTCGCACTTCCGAGCTGGCTCAGGCTTGAGCCATGTGATTCAGGATGGTATCCACCATGATGGACACTCCAGATTTCTGACACCTCCAGGGATCCTTACTGCCTAGCTTTCGGCTTGTGTGCTCCTTTGCGCTCCTGGACTTCAGAACAAGCTGCTGGACAAAACTGGCCCATTTAGCACAAGAAAGCAGTGTGGACGCTTCACAGCTGAAGTACAAATCAGGACAATGTACTCCGCTCAACGATGCTGGAATTGAAGCCACGAACGAACATGCAGGAAACTGCCGAATGTTATGCAGGTATGCTGGCGAGTGTGGCATGTTCATGTAGCTTTTAGACAAGAACTCAAAAGCGAATTTCAACGTCACTACCACATTTGCCAATTCAAAATCCCCACAGTCTCAAGCATGAGTTTGCACAAAAAGGAGTACGGGTAAAACACCCATGCTCTAGCAACTAGGAGTGTGCGGAGCCCGCACGACCTTGCACGAGCACATCACAGCTCTGCAAAGTCAGCCATTCGAAAGCAAGCGCTCGATTTGCAAGCACATGTGCGAGACACACGTCAGCTGCATGACAGCGCATCAAGCCCAGTCACTCCTCAGGCAGACACGCTGTAACATCCGACAACCACGTGCCGAGCGTTTCGGGGGCGAAGCATCACCGCCAAAAGCGACCGAGACTGCTTCTGACAATGATAAAAGCCAGGTAGCGCCGATCCACAGGTAGATGCCTCTCTAGACATCACGAAGCTATAGTATCTTTGGCTTATGCAAACCAGCAAGTAGACGCCCTGCGGACAACAGGCACTCCTGTCTTTTGTGGTTCCCTAAATCCAAAAATTTTGGTCTGCGATTCCCGTCATTGGTGACCACCTCAGTCTCGCATCGCCACACATCAGCTGACCCCATAACGCTCCCAAACATTGGCAGGCGTGTGAAGTCCTGTAAAGCCAGCACCCGTCATCTGTGACTACGTACTGTTTTCCCTTGCTTTTTTTTGTGTTCTTCCCACAAAACAACGGCGAACATCTGTGACTACCTGCTTTATCTTCTTCTGGGCTGAGATTTAAGGGTTTAGGTTTTATGAACAGGGTCCAACGTTTTTTTTTTGAACCCTCTTTTCCGTCTGCCCAAGGGACGTCCGAAATGCCTGTTACGACGGAGGGTCCAAGGTTTCGGGCCTAGGGCTAAGGCGGTTCAGGTTTGGGGTAGGAATCGGTTTAAAGGCTACGGGTTTGCAAGGTCGAAGACTTGTGCTCAAGGTCTGAGATTTCTCAATTTGGTGGTGGGCAAGCATGAAACATAGAGGAGGTGACCACCACCCCCCCAACAAATCACTCTCCCTCACCACCACCCCCCCTTGCACAGATCACCCCGCACCACCACCAAACCCCCCCCTCGCTACACCACGCAGGCCTGCTGCTACCCGGTACACTACCTACGACAATGACTGCGACTGCGACTGCACCTCCTAGTACTTCTACTACTACGACTACTGCTGCCACTACTACTACTACTACTACTACGACGACTACCTACTACTACTACTGCTACTACTACTACTCTACTACTCTACTACTCTACTACTACTCTACTACTACTACTACTACTACTACTACTACTACTACTACTACTACTACTACTACTACTACTGCTACTGCTACTGCTACTGCTACTGCTACTGCTACTGCTACTGCTACTGCTACTGCTACCACTACCACTACCACTACCACTACCACTACCACTACTACTACTACTACTACTACTACTACTACTACTACTACTACTACTGCGCCGAAATGCGCTTGGCGAATCCAGACTTTTGCCGCGAGGGAAGTGAAGTGAAGTACTACTACTACTACTGCTACTACGACTACTACTACTACTACTACTACTACTGCGCCGAAATGCGCTTGGCGAATCCAGACTTTTGCCGCGAGGGAAGTGAAGTGAAGTACTACTACTACTACTACTACTACTACTGCTACTACGACTACTACTACTGCTGCTGCTGCTGCTACTACTACTACTACTACTACTACTGCTACTGCTACTACCACTACCACTCGTGCTACGCTGTGGAGCTGACACTGATCTGCATTGAGGCGATCATAAGCGCAACGGACGCAGTGTAGAACGTACTGGGGGGGCCAGGGTGGTGGTGGTACGTCCAGTCCATCCCCTCGTTAATCAGAGGGGGTGGGGGGGTATGTCCCCCGACCTTCTGGGGAGGGGGTGGGTGGTGGTATGCCCCCCCCTTGTTGAGAGGAGGGGGAGGGTGGTAGTCACCCCCCTGAGGCTGCAGCAGCGAATAGCAGGTTACGGTAAACTATCCCACATCTTACGGTTTAGAGTTCAAGGTCGAGGGTTTAGGGCTGGGTTAGGGTTTTGGGGTTAAACCCTAAGGCCTTAACCTTCAACAAGTCTCCAACCCCCTAACCCCAAAACCCTAACCCGAAACCCTGAACCCTGGAGCCTAAACCCTAAACCAACCCTCAACCTAAGATTCTTCGCCCTAAAACCGACTCTGAACTTTAAAGCCTAAACCCTGAAACCGACCATAATCCCAAAAGCCTAGCCCGAAACCTTGGACCAAAGCAGGCCCTAAACCCTAAGATTCTACTCGCCTTAAAACCGAATCCGAACCCGAAACCCCACCTTGGACCAGACGGTCTTTGACCATCAACCTCCCCAACCCTAAATCCCAAAGCAACTGAACTCTCAGATCCTAAGCGCCCTTCAACCGATCCGAAATCCCAAAACCGACCCTAACCCCAAAACCTCAACCCTAAACCCGAAGCCCTGCACCCTAGAGCTTAGACCCAAAGCCTTAACCTTCAACCCAAGTCCCCAACGCTAAGCCTTAAAGCAACCTTAAGCCCTAAGATTCTAAACGCCTTTAGGCTCCAGGGTCGTCGTTTAGGGTTCGGGTGACGGTCGGTTTCAGGGTTAGGGTCGGTTTTAGGGCGTTTACAATCTCAGGGTTTAGGGTTGCGGACTTGGGTTGAAGGTTAAGGCTTTAGGTTTTGTTGGCTTTAGGGTCCACGGTTACGGTTTTGGGATTATGGTCGGTTTCAGGGTTTAGGCTTTAAAGTTCAGAGTCGGTTTTAGGGCGAAGAATCTTAGGTTGAGGGTTGCTTTAGGGTTTAGGCTCCAGGGTTCAGGGTTTCGGGTTAGGGTCGGTCTTAAAGCGTTCAGAAGCGTAGGGTTTAGGGTTGCTTTAGGATTGCTTTACTAGACTATGATATATTGGAATATATCATATCGGTTCAAAGCCTGAACTTGACCGCTGCGTTTGGGCTTCAAGCAAAAGGGTCGATGATGTACCATGTCCTCCATGCTAACACGGTGTCTCTTGAGCACATGCACATGGGATGGAACACGTATGTGTATGCATCCTAAACTTCCTGCGAGAAGTGCGCGCAAAACATGGCACTGTGGACAAAAGAGAATAGCCTGTAGAATACCTTACAGAATACCCTTTCTAAAAACGTAAAAAGGAGTTCATACAACATACGGTACGACCTTCTAGAATAACCCCCTACATACCTTGTATAAAGCTGTTTGAACACCCTCTAAACTAGACAACACCTGTTAGAACACGGTTTAGAACAACACCTAGATATACCTTCTAGGCTAGCGGAATCTAGGATCCGTGAACAAATCGAAGCCTAAGGGATACACATAGAGAACAGAATACCTGATAACATCTCCCTTTACATACCCTATAGAATACCTTCTACAACACATTGTGGAATAACCTATACAATAGCTTTTGGACTACCTTATGCAATACTTTACACAATTCCCCCGATGTAGCCTACATATACCTTCTAGAACACCGTCTGGAATACCCTGTAGAATACCTTCTATGAGACCGCCTATACCCCTTGCATAATTACTATATATATATATATATACACACACACACCATATAGCATGCCTGTAGAATACCTTCTGGGATACCCCTTATAATCCTCTGCAGAATACCCGAATACCCTATAGAGTACACTGAAGGTAGGGACTTGAAATATGCAAAACCATTCGGAGCCCAAGATCTGAGAAGCCCCCATTTCAATTCTAGCTTATTGGGCAAAGGATTACTATGAAGAGAATCCAGAACCAAGAAGAGTAGCAAGATATTTACCTTACAGAATACCCCATCCATATATACCTTACAAGGACTTTACAACAACTTCATATAAAATGCCCATATTTTATGACATTCCGGTTTCCTTATGAAATACCGGTTTAAAGCGGAAATCTATCTGCTGCGTTTTTGCTGTTTTACGGCTTGCAGAACATCAACACAGCAGATACTGATTAGAGTTAGTAGATAATTTGAGCGGTTTCGTTAGTGGTATTACTCAAAATACTTGAAATAGTCTTAACACTAGTATAACTATTGTTATTGTCATTAGTAGTAGTATTAGCAATTTATAGAGATGAGTGTGATAGAGGTAAGTTCTAGTCCAGTTCAGTGGGCCCGAAGGATGAAGGAGGTTCAGCGTTCTTGTGCAGTGGAAGAGAACCAAAATCACAAAAACAAAAAAAAACCAAAACCAAAAAAACCAAAAAAACCAAAACCAAAAAAACCAAAAACACCAAAAAAATCAATTTTCAGAAAGTCTTCTGTAAGTAGCATTATCCCGAACTCTTGATCAAGACTGTCTGAAAATTGATTTTTTTGTTTTTTTTGGTTTTGTTTTTTTTGGTTTTGGTTCTCTTCCACTGCACAAGACAACCCAAACCCTTTCCCCAAACCCTAAAAACCCTTCCGCCCTTGAAGACGATGCGATACGCGTCGTCGTCGTAGTGTGTTGCTTCGGTTTTCGTGAACGAAGTTGAACAGCGAAAACGCAGCGGTCAAGTTCAGGCCTCGAGCCATCATATCATACGATATAATACTTGTATACTCTGTTTTTATGTCCGATTATGTTATCTGTATTATATTCATATTGTGCCTACGCATATAGATATATGTATATATATATATATATATATACAAACACATTATACCATTCATATTACATATGCCACCTCTCCCTTGTCGGATATGCCGCTTACATGCCCACAAGCACCGACGCAGGAGCGAGCACGTTTCTGCACGAAACATGGAAGACACGACTTTGAAGCAAAAGCACACCGCGCCCTTGAAAAAATGCAGCTTCGTGCGCAAAATGAACCGCGCTTTGGGAAAAGCAGGATCTCGTTAACATGAACACGGCACAGTAGAAAAATTGCAGTTGATACCGGCCATTTGAGACTACCTGTTTTCGACACGAAAGATCAAACGATCGGGTTCAGGTGCCAGCAGGTGCCAAAACATCCAAAACCATGGAAGGGTCTCCGTTTCCAGCCACTCAATCATCCGTTATACCTGCTGGGTTTCAAGACAACAACGTTCGTCAAGAATAACGTTCAGCAGCGTTAGAAAACCCAATGGAGTGAAACAAGTTTTCGTGCGAAATGCGCACCGCGCCTGGGGACACGCAGCAGTTCCTAAACATGAACACGGCGCTTACGAAAAATTGGAGTATCAGCCAACTTGATGCCAGTCATGTGTGACTACGTGCTAAAACCATGGAAGGGTCTCCATTTCCAGCCATTCAACCACCTGTGACTTGCGACCACCTGGTCGGGTTTGAGAAGACAACCCTCGTGACGAAAAAACCTTCAACAACGTTTAAAAGCCGCGGGGAGTCCGAAATGACAGGAGCGCCCGGACAACACACCCAGGCAACAACAGCAGAAAGCATGAACATGCAACACCTTACCGTGACACTACATGACGAAACAAAACCAAGGTCTGGTCACAAGGGTTGACTCCATGAGTTGACGACACACTTCGCCAAGGTAACGTTCCAAGGTGACGCACGACTTTCGACGCTGCGCGGTGACCCTGCACTACTTCGAGCACTGCCAGCATGTCTAACATCATGTAGAAGATGTCTAGACAACCAGGAAGCCAACTCCGCTATGGCATCTTTGCCATGCATGTGCTGAGAAATTCATCCCCCCACCGCGGACGGCTATCGATGCTTTAAAAGGAACAAAGCGATGCCCCTTAAAAACGTGCCTGGAGATCATGTCCGAGAACTGAGCCGGTGTGCCCGAGCGTGAATCCAATTTGAAGGAAACCGGTTGATATCGCGTAGACCAGGAGTCTCCCAGAACATGCTCAGTTGGTGGTGAAACTTGCACAGCAGTGACGCCAGCAGGCCCCAGCCATGTCTCACACTCCTCAGCAATTGCAGGCCAGGGCCACTCGAAAAGGTGCACCATGATGTGGTTCTGCATGGACATGTTGCAATGCCTTGACCAGATTTCAGCACCCACTAGTGGCTGATCCGGAATCTGCCCAGGAAAGCGAGGATCGCAGCTCCACACCTGGCAGCGGCCTTCGTTCCAGAAGGCGAAAGTATTCCCGTTGAGCCGCTTCATTCGCTGGTGACAGTTGAACTTGCCAGTCGTACTTTGGCCGAACTTGTTCGTTCCGTATGGGCCACGCCCAAATTCAGCGAAGGTATCAGCCGGGCGTGTGTCCGTCTCGTCCGCGATGAGGCGACACAGGCTTCGTGAGATGCCCGGCTGTAAACACCGCCGAGCTGGTTCGAAGGGAAAAGGCTTATGGACCAGCACCACTTCTATGACAAGGGCTGCTATCCCAAGGCCGCAACCGCAGCCTATGGCCAGCCTGGGGGGTAATCTTCGCAAAGCCATCGCATGCTTTATGGAGCAAGTTTGCATTGTCCTGCAAAGACAGCCGCAGCGGTCTTGGTTTATGCTCGCGCGACGTGGAGGGTTACGATACAGAGAGCTCGAGGATGCAACCCCAAGGTCTTGTCGGATGCAGGGTGCGGCAAACATTTGCACTACAAACTGGGCCAAGCAGAGCGGAACTACTGAAACGAGTGATGCGTTGGCCAGCTCCTTCTCATTATCAGAAATGAAAGAGCTGCCGCGTCTTCGTGCAATGACTTCGCAGAGGAAGGGAGAGACCAGACTGGCCAGTCCTTGAAGAATCACCGAAATCGTCCCATAGCTCAGAAGCCTCCACCTCGAATTCAGCACCCGAACCTTCACGGCCCATGCCGAGGAGGAACGAATTCCTTCAAGGATCAGCGACAAGCAACAAATAGCCAATGCAGTATCTGAACGACCAAAGAACGTAAAGGTCGACACCTCGTCCTGCACAACAGCACGCAGCATAGGCGCTGGTGGCAGCAGCAACGTTATGCCAATCAAAAGGGCAAGACCGTGCACTGTCGCGTGCTCGAGTGTTTTTGCCCAGCAATAGGTCACAACTGCTAGGAGCATGGCAAAAACCAGGCTAAGCCATGCGAGATCTTGCCCTTTCCAGCCATTGGCGAACCACCAGCGGATGTAACAAGTGCTAGGGAAGAGGGCTAGGCAACCCAAGACGTCCGAAAGCGAAAGGATGATGAACGTCCGCCGTTTGCAAAAGAGGTTCAGCTCCCAGCCTGGTAATCGATCTTCGCGATATGGGCCCGGAGCCGCCAGAAAAAGTGCGCCTGGCACAACGGTGGCCAAGAAAGTCAGCAATGCCAGGGGTGTTAGAAGAAGTATCACCGAAGGTGGCAGCGGTTGCTCCTCTGAGCCAACTTGCGTTGAAGGCGATGTCAAAAAGATGTAGCCTGTGATGAGCCATGTGACGGCGTTCCTGACCATCTCCAAGATTCCCATCCGCTTGGCCGCGTGGCTGATGTCTGCTTTGATAGAGAGCATGAAATTGAATGCCACAAAGAGCAGCGAGCCAGAGCTGAACAAACCTTGCAGAAACACCACGGATGTTGCAAGTGAAACATTGGGCCGATGAACCACGAGCATTGTGAGCAGGACAGGGACCTGGAAAAGCATGGCAGCTGCTAGCAGCCTGCGAGGCTGTATCCAGCAGGCGGCGAATGTCCACAACGGTGCACCCAGGGCTGTAGAGAGGGCGTTGGTCGAGAACAAGAGCATGTTCAAAATGGGTGGGTCCAAGCCTCCATTGCCGAATACAGTCTTGAACCATGGGAACCGCTTAAACCATTCCGGAAGCTCCGTGGAACCTCGAATCCCCCATTCTGTGGCCACGACTAGAATCAGCAATGATGATAGTGGGCATGCGATGTATCCGCATGACACTAGCCAGTGAATCCGGGCAGTTCCTAGCCAGTGGCCCGTGAGCCACTTTGACACAGGACTTGTTTCATACTCCAGGTCTCTGTCGGAACCGATGCTGCGCAAGACAGTCTCGATATCCTGATCTAAAACATCCAGCTTGGCTCTGACCAGCGTGTTCAGCTCTTCCTCGGACAGCTCCTGGCGAAGGATGAACTCCTCGGTGGGCAGTTCGTGAGACCCGTCTTGGCTTTCCAGGTAGGAGCCAGCGAAGGAGACAGCCGAAGGGCCTGAAGCCTCCACAGACTCCCCCAGTTCTGCGTGGTGTGTAGGAAACCAAGTTGCCGACAACCTCGCAGGTGACCCGAGGCCGAGCTCTCCGAGGTCACGCGGCGTACGCGTCTCGGCGACCTGCTCGTACAGGTCAAGCAATCTCTTTTGCCAGTCCTCCACAGGAAAATTGCACTGCAAAGCCTGTCTGGACAGGGCATGGAGAGCAGAGCTCCCTGCGCGCATCGCTGCAGAGATGACGCTTCGCAGCTCCCGTCTCAGCCGCGTTAGGCTCTCTCTGTTCTGCGCAACATAATAGAAGCCGGGTACTTTACCCAGCCCACCGGCCTGAGCACCCACAATCACGGCTCCGCGCCACGCAAACTCCACGTCTACGTATCCAAATGGCTCATCACGCGAGGGCATCAAGCAAAAGTCGCTGGCCCATTTCAGGTCCTCTGGAACTTCAAGGAACTCGCAACAGACACTGAGCCGCCCTTTGAAGGCTGCCGCCTCCGCAAGTTTTTCGAGCTTTCGTGCCGCGTAGAAGCCAAAGCCATCAGCTGGTGGCCCAATGACAATCAGCTGGGCCTGGGGGTAGGTGGAGAGGAGCCACTCTGTCACATCTGCTAATAGGTCGACACCCTTCTGCCTAACAAGACGGCCAAGTGAAACGAAGAGCCTGGCATCTGGGTCTTCTTTCAAGCCGAAACGCACTTGGCATCGGGCTTTGGCTTCGCCCTTCTGAGTCTTGAGGTCAACTCGCAAAGTTGCCCGCTCCTCCTCCAGCATGGGATTGTCAAGGCCACGGAACTTTGGAAGCCTCCAGAAAACGCTGTACCTGGAGTGACACTCCGCAGCATAGTATTCAGAAACTGCACAAGCTCCAACCCCTTGCTGCTTCTCCAGCAGGAAGTCCACGGCAGCCTTCAGCATGTTGAAGCGCCCTTCGAACACAAGATGTTGCTTGACAAACATCTTCGGCAGATTGAACACTTCAGCCATGACCTGAAGCTGATCTGAGGTGAGCATATCCGTTGCAATTGAGCCTTGGTATTCTGCATTGTGAAGTACCAAAATCATCCGAAGCTGCGGGCATGCTGGTAGAGCATACCACGGAGCAACAGCTGAGTGGAAGTCAGGACAGTGAAACACATCCGGAGAATATGCAACCAACAGCTTACCAACACATTGATTCCACAGGGAGAAGAACTGAAGTACCTTTCTGCGGGACAGAGGATTCGGATATAACGACTGCCGTACACGCTCCTCAAACCAAGGATGAGAAAGCAACAGAAACTGCCTTCGCACTCCGTCGTGCTCGCGAACCGGTTTGGATCGGTACACCCTGACGGTCTCCAAGCTGCCGTCGACACGGACTTGGATGGATGATTCTTCCGCGTCCAGATTGGAGTACTGCACCCTGTCGTCCTCTGCAACCTTCGGGTGGATCATGAGGATGTCTGTTGGATGATGCTTCGCGATTAAGTCCATGACTTTCCCGAGCCCTCCAGCAACCGCCTTACAAGCTGGAAGATGTGGCAGGGAATGCTCCAGCGAGGCCAGCATAACTTGAAATCGTCGGGCAGCCTCGCGTGTACCCGCCTCATCTGCATGCTCAGAATCGTCAACAGAGCTAGCAGGACGAAGAAGAGGAATGGAAGGCAACTCGACGCTGTCTTCCTCCACAATAGGAGTTGTGACCCGTCGCCTGCGTGCACAAAACTCGGCTAACCAAAATAAAAGCGAGGGCAGCGGCCACAGGATACAAAGCCAAATCGACAGAATCGGAAAGGGTACGCCATCATCGAGCACAAGCGTGCTCAACTCGAGAAGCCTCCACATCTTGCAGAGATCATGATCGGACAATTCGAGCAGAAACTTCTTGTCGGAATAGCGTGAATGGTCAGAATCTTTTCCCTTGCAGAAACCCAGTCAAGAGGCTTCAGGCTTTGTTTGTGTGCTGGGTCAGATACAGGGAAGTGCACTGTATTCGTGTGGCCCCTCCAACTCTTGGAACCCTGCGATCTGCACAGAAAGCTCAGAATGCATCCAAATCCCTGCAGCCCGGCAGGTCTGTGGAGGCTGGCTTCCAGACTGTTCCCGAGGGTCGCAAACTCCTACCTTCCGCGGTGATCTGATTAGACTGAGCATACGATCTGCCAGGCCAAACACCGCTCAAGCACAAAAGACTGCCACCACCCTGTAACGCTTTTCGGGTCTCCTTTGCGGCTTTACGCCGGCTCTTTTTCGGCGACTGGAAGCACTTTCGGACAACGATCTCGGCACAGACGTTGCCGTTCGGCCGGTGCTCCGTGGCTCCCAAGCCTCGTGACCTGCCAGCCTCAGGCTGGATGACCCCTCAGCTTGACCACAACAATTTCGCCAGCTTCACCACTCCTGCGCGAGCTTGTGCGCGCGTGCATGTGTGTGGGTGTGTGTGTGTGTGTCTGAAGTTCGCAGCAGCTCAATTAGCAGTCAAGTTCAGCTATTGTGAGCTTGCAACCAACTGGCGAATCAACTCTGCAAAATTTTGAGAGCTTTTTTGGGCAATGACAGGTGCAGAGAGTTTGCCGAACTGCAGGCGGTCCCCAACTTACAGCCAGGCTATCAAATGTGCCGAATTCAGATGTTACCAGCTAGCAAACCTTTGCCTAGGCCAGATTTGCTTGGCAACGGCTGCGTGCTCTCAGAAAATCCGCTGGAGACACGAAGCACAAGTCCAGGATGTGCCGCAGCTGCACATCGCGTGGCGAAGATGAAACGAGGATTTGAAGTGCCTTGCTGCTGAAATATGCGACATCGCTGCTCGGAGACTGCTCAAAAGCCACGTTCTGTACGGCCAGAGGTGTTGGGAACCTTGCTTTATGTGCAGCAGCAGAGGCCGCTTCGGCAAGCTCATTCCACGATCTTTGGATGTCCATGAGGCGAGGTGCGTGCTTCACATCGAACTTGCTGGAGGGCTGCTGCACAAAGATCTGACAAATGCTCAGCGAAGGTGTGAGGAGGTACAAGGTACAGGTCTGGCGTCCACTGGTGGTTCTGCGCGGCTTCGATGCCTGAAGCGCCACACCAATCAAGTCGCACAAGAAGCCCCTGAAGTGGTCAGCTGGCGCCACTTGAGGACTTGCAAAAAGTGGTGGACCTGCGCAGAAGATTGGGACGATGCTATGAATAGTGAAGTTACAGGCACAACCACAACAAGCATCAGAGATCTTTTTCGGCCCAAGCATTGGCGAACACAAGTCAACAGAGACACACCCACATTCACAACAACGGAGCAATAGTGTGTCAATAGTGTTACTGATATGCATGTGTGAGCAATGTTTCTGGCCGAGGCCTCTGCCGAACGGGGACCGCAGCAACGGGCCAATGGTGGCACATTCCGCACCATGCTGGTGCTGCAACCGGGCGTTCCTGCAAGACTGTGCGGGAAGCTTGAGCTTAAGCTGTATTTCATTCAACCCTGCTCTTGAAGGAACTACTTCCGAGACGCCTGTTGCAGAAGATTCGAGCAGGACCAAGTGCTGTGTCGCACGCGGGCTTCCTGCAAGCGAGTTCTGCCAGCCGCAGTCTGCACATCTCGCGACAAGCGTGCTCCAGCCTGAGGCTGCTGATGCGAAGGCGGTCCAAGGGCTTGAGCAGGTCCTTGCGCTTCGCTTCAAGACATCATGGCCTTGCACGTCAAAAAGACCCACCAGTCTCTCCTGTTGTATGAATTGTGTCCCGGGTATAGCCAGCAAGGCCACGAAAGTCCTGCAAATCAGCAGGGTACGGCAGGCTACAAAAACAATCAATCCCGTCAGCATTAAGCTCGAAATCAAGCCGTCCACCAAGCACGGCCAGGATGTGCTTGAGAAAGCGCTTGCGCGTCTATTACAACGACCTGGAGCTGCAATTTTGAGCATCTCGACCACACCACGGCTCTGTGAGAGCCTGGACTTGCAACTTGCCAGGGTCCATCTCCGGCACCTCGCAAGAGCCATGCATCAGTCTAGCTTCCTGCAACTTGGGTTACCATGTCCGGCAACAAGTGCTTAGCCTTGTTGCTTTCGATGTGCTGTACATCCTCCTCATGAGGCAGGACAACATGCAGCAAGAGACATCCTGTTCGTGTGCAGCCACATAACTTCTCTAATAACCACCGTGACCAGTGGCCGTCCTCCCAAAGACGCTGCTCTTGCGAGATGCCTCTCTCTTCAAGACAATACGAAGAGCTGTCTTCATGCACCTTTCTCCAGTGGCGTACCACTGGCGGTAGTATTCCTGAGCTCGAAAAAGCCTGCTACTGAAGCGCACATGCTCAGCCGTAGCAGTGCGTAGTTCTGAGCACTTTACGTAGCACAACGACATCCAAGCTGGGAATCAGCACCGGTCCTGTTGATGCTCTACAGTGACCATCTCACTCATTCTTTTGCACAGTGCCAGACTCTGGCCTCTGTGAAGCTGGTTGATCTTGGCTGGCGGAAACCATCCCTGCATTGCTTGCAATCAGCGTCGGACGTTCAGCAGCCATCACGTAATCCCCTGGGCACCCAACGCGCTGGAAACCAAGGCTAGTTTTAGCGGAGGCCGGGCGGCAGCCACATTCTCGCAAATGGAGCCTGTTGACGGATGTCTTTCGTCGCTTCATGGTTGAAAGCTGCAAGTTGGTTTGGATGGCCTGGTAGTCTCTGGTAGTTGTAACGGGTCACTGCCATCAATGGGGAAGTCCAAGGCACTAGCCATGCAAACGTGGAGCAACCTCGCAATAAAGCAGTGAGCGGGTGCGCAGACGAAGAAATATAAGAAAGAAGCAACCGAGAGTTCCTGCGTCGCACGGCACCTTCCTGGGCGAAGCTGACGGCGGCGGACGCGATCGTGCAAATCTGCGTCCAAGCTGGCCTGCACAATATCGTGTGAAAGTGTTATCATCGAGACACAGGACGGACCTTGATGCAATACCAGCCGTCGCTCAGCTCGATCCAGGTGTCGTGTGAATAGGCCAGGCGTTGCGACTTTCTCTTTCTGCCTCCGGGGTCGGACAAGGCCGGTGCGACGGCCAAGCATTGCCGAAGCCGAGCCTGTCTTTGGTCCCTCTTCCATAGTTGCCTCGGCTCACAGCAAGAGAACCCAAGCCCTTCATGTGCAACAAAGCTCGCGGAGCCATGGCGTTGCCGGCCATGGTGCCGTGCACATCAACACCATGTGCTGATCGGCTGGGGCCAGTCCCGCGCAAATCTGGAAAATTGCGGACCTTCTCCCAGCAATCTCTGCCCGGGCTCGCTTTCCTAGACGCTTGCACATCGACTTAGCGTCTCTCGAAACGGCATCCATGGATCGTAGTGACAGGAGTGCCAACTGTGCCAGATGATTCCGCAACCACCTGTCCTCATACCTGGATGAGATCTCAATGGATTCTGCACGACATTCCTCCACGAAACCCTGAACAATGGAGGGAGGAGCCTTGCCGGCCATCCAATCAATCAAAGAGATGTCGATCACTGGCAAACTATCTTCAAGATCTTCCCGGTGAGAGGCCAGCACATCGCTTGCCAAGAGACGTTTGCCCAAACTGCTGCCCATGCCAGAGTGCCCGTCAACCTCGCTGAAGAGATGACCTGCATCTTCTGCTACCCGAAGGACAGTAGGGCAGGCCGGCTGGTCCTGAGCCCCCGCCCGTTCTCTGAGAATGCTTGTAGGCTGCAGCTTTCCAGCGAGGCCGTGTGCCAGATCTCGATCGACGCTTACAAGGTTCTGGCTGCATTCTGACAAGGCTCGTGAAAAGGCTGTGGCCTTTCTAACAACTGCTTGGTCACAGCTTTGTGGAGCCGCTCTAGGCAGAGGAGGCTTCATCGTCCCAACAAGAGGCAGCTGCAAAACTTGTTCTTGCGTGGCCACCTGATCATCTTGAACGCATGACAGAAGATTGATAGCTTCAGCCTCGGATGATTGCAACAACTGCTGCACTTTGCTGACGTGTCCAGTATCCACTGAAACTGCTCGTCCGCCAGCTGTCATGAACTTGCCCACTGGTTCGCTCATTGCTTGGCATAGCATGGCAGATGCATCATGATGCACGTTTCCGTCATCAGCGCCGGAAACATCTCCAGCATGCCCAGGGTAGTCGCGAATGTCTGGGCTTGGCTGATGCCGCAGTAGATGATCACGGCCAGTCGAGTCGACTCGACTGCGCGACCGCAGCTTGCTGGCTCTGGGCTCACATGGCTCAAACGAAGCCTGTAATTCATGTAGTCCAGTCGCTGAAACCACTCCTTCTTCGTTTGTCATAAGCTTGTCCACTGATTCGCACGCTGCAACATCTATCATGGCAAACACATCATGCTGGCCATCTTGGCCATGAGTTGCCGAGTCGTTTTCTGCAGGGCCAATGACGGGCCTGTTCTCCGAGTGTGTCAGACTCGGTGGGTTCAACATCTGGAGCAGATCATGGCAATCCGGAGTTTGGCATGCCTGATCTTCGGCACGAGGCAGCTGCAACGCCGGTTCTTGCGCGGCCACCTGATCATCTTGCACGCATGATAGAAGATTGATAGCTTCAGCCTCGGATGATTGAAACAACTGCTGCACTTTGCTGACGTGTCCAGTATCCACTGAAACTGCTCGTCCGCCAGCTGTCATGAACTTGCCCACTGGTTCGCTCATTGCTTGGCATAGCATGGCAGATGCATCATGATGCACGTTTCCGTCATCAGCGCCGGAAACATCTCCAGCATGCCCAGGGTAGTCGCGAATGTCTGGGCTTGGCTGATGCCGCAGTAGATGATCACGGCCAGTCGAGTCGACTCGACTGCGCGACCGCAGCTTGCTGGCTCTGGGCTCACATGGCTCAAACGAAGCCTGTAATTCATGTAGTCCAGTCGCTGAAACCACTCCTTCTTCGTTTGTCATAAGCTTGTCCACTGATTCGCACGCTGCAACATCTATCATGGCAAACACATCATGCTGGCCATCTTGGCCATGAGTTGCCGAGTCGTTTTCTGCAGGGCCAATGACGGGCCTGTTCTCAGAGTGTGTCAGACTCGGTGGGTTCAACATCTGGAGCAGATCATGGCAATCCGGAGTTTGGCATGCCTGATCTTCGGCACGAGGCAGCTGCAACGCCGGTTCTTGCGCGGCCACCTGATCATCTTGCACGCATGACAGAAGATTGATAGCTTCAGCCTCGGATGATTGAAACAACTGCTGCACTTTGCTGACGTGTCCAGTATCCACTGAAACTGCTCGTCCGCCAGCTGTCACGAACTTGCCCACTGGTTCGCTCATTGCTTGGCATAGCATGGCAGATGCATCATGATGCACGTTTCCGTCATCAGTGCCGGAAACATCTCCAGCATGCCCAGGGTAGTCGCGAATGTCTGAGCTTGGCAGATGCGGCAAATGTCCGAGTATGTCATTGCCAGCAAAACACATCGTGGGTGGTGCAGTGTCCACAGAACCGTCTCCACCACACGAGACTTTGCTGCCCTCAGTTTCGCATGAATCAAACAAAGCCTGGACCTTTCGCAGATCTGCGGTGTCCACTGAAACTGCTCGTCCGCCAGCTGTCATAAACTTGCCCAGTGGCTCGTTCCCTGCCTGACCTATAATGGCACGGACACCGCTGCTGCTGCTGCTGCTGCTGAAGTATTGGTCATCAATGCTAGAGCCAGTTGAGGCAACTGCCTCACGAGGAAACTGCAAAGCATCTGCGCCGACAACAGAATCTCGACAAAGGCGTGGAAGACTATGGGCTTGGGTCTCGAATGACTTGAAAAAATCTTCGACTTCTTTGAGACGCCGCCAGTCCACCCCAACTGCTCGTCCACCTGCTGTCACGAACTTGCTTGTCCCTGGCTCTTTCGCAGCTTCTTCCTTGCTTCCCATGAGTGCAGGGGCACTATAAGCCGGCCAGAGCCTCAACTCGAGAGCAGCAGAATCTCGTGCCGAAATTGCTGCAGGCGCTCGCGTAGCCCGGTCAGTGTGAGAAGCATTGAGTCATGTAAAAAGCCTCTGGTTTCACATCGGTGAAACATGCGAAGCATTTTGCGGCCTCTTCTCGCAGAACAGAACCTGCAAACCGGTAAGGCATGAAACATGCTGCCAGCAGCGAATTGCTCGCTGCCTGTGCCAGAGGAGCAAGATATTCCTTCTGACCTTGTTGTGCATGGTCTTGCGTTCAGTGACAGGTGCGGACAGAACAGGAGTCTCAGTGCCGGTGCCTTTCTGAACCTCCAGGATGGCATTGAGTTCTTTCAGAGTCATCTCACCACCCTTCTCTTGGAGACCTTTCCGTGCTTAATCTGAGTTTGATGCCCACTGAAAGACTTGCTATGTCCTGAGTCCAGTGCACTTCACTGCCAGCTGCTGCAATTGCGCACCCTTTTCAGATGTACACCTCGAGTTGCAGTGGGAACCGGCGCGGCATTCACGCCTCCGCTCTTGAGGTAGGTACTGTGATGCTTCTGTAGCAGTCTTTGCTTGGCAGGGCGATGCCTCAATTTGCACGAACAACAACTACACAGATGAACGATGTTGAAAGATCTGCGACTCCACGCAGCTCAGCACTTTTTTGTCAGCTCTGCGTGAAAACAGTCACGGAGAGGTCTCGCGGCTGCAAGAAGACCTGCGCAGGCATGTTCGACATTAGATTTGAGCGTTCCAATCGAGCACGACGTTGCTGCCAAGCCAGAGTCGACATTGCATGCATGGAGTCTCTTCAATTACCCCGCTTCGCCCTGCTACGCAGGGTCTAGCAAACTGGCATGCAGCAGCCTAGAGCAAACCTCAGAATCTCAGACCCTGGCACTCAAAGACTCAAGGGTACACTGTCATAGTGATGCCCACGGCCAGCAGCAAGAGGCTCGGGGAGTCTTTCAACCTCTGAAAACCGTGCACTCAGTCTGCACAACATGCATCAATACATGAGTCTTCACATAGCGGAGTCCGTTGCAGTCCGTGAATGGTCTATCACACTGCAGATGTGAGGCCCATGCGCAGCACTTTTGGAATGCCTCCTGGACGACGATCCCTCCGAGTTCTGGTAAAGCTGGTGATTCTGGTAGTGCTGATGTTGCCATTGCTGATGCTGCAGCTGCTGGAGCTGCTGTTGCTGCTCCTGCAGCTGCTGCTGCCGAAGTGCTGCTGCTGCATGCATGGTTCTCGCTACTCGTTGAGTCCCGAGGTAGGCCGGGTAGAGCTGCTGTGCCTCATGCCTGAGGATGCATGACATTGGGCTCACATGCAGGGCGCTGTAAAGCCAACCAGTTAACCTGCTTCGCCAAGCGAGCTGGATGAGTCAAGGCTCAATGCTGACATCGACGTTGCCAAAGGCATCCTGACAAGCTGGACGGGCACATCTCCACACTTCATTGAAGCACTAACATCAAAAACATGTCTGAAGGAAACCCAGCTGTCCCCTCCACGAAGCCGTCCACTTCTCGTGCTGAGCTTACAGATTTCACCATGCGCTTGTAGTTGTCCTGATTGCACGTGACAAGACTTGGATAGACTTGGGCAAGCGCGGCATCACAATGGCGTCTAGACGTGTCCGAAAATGCCACCAGGGATCTACCATGTAGCGGTGAAGCTCGGCAGATCGATTGTTTAGGCTGTCCGTCCGTGCTTTGAAGAGGGCGGTCCGCTGCTGCAGCATTGATGCTTCGCGCTTGAAGCCTCCGGCAGACTTAACTAACTCAAGATCTCATGCGATCGCATGATCATCAAGATCTTTAAGCGCAAAGTTAGCTCACAATCGTCCACACGAAACCATGTGTTCATATCCAGGTGCTGAATGCTCCATGTCAGCTCATGCACTCCGTGGCTACTCCATCCTGCTGCATCCTAGACCTGCATAAAGGATTGCAATCAGTGGTTTCTCGGACTTAGCTGGAATCGAATCGTCGTGGACGCCTCGGACGTGTGTGGAGGCCGCACTTTCCATTCGGTAGATCATCTCGGTGTAGTAGTCCAACAGCTTGGTCCACTTGTCCAGCTCCGGCGGCGGCCCTCCGGGAGTCCCAGCGTGGCCCTGGACACCTTTTAAGCCAAGTGCGCCGAGCTTGCCTTTGGGCCCGGGGCTGCCGGCGATTCCAGGGACTCCGGCATGGCCAACAACGGATGCACCAGCTGGGCCCCGTGGCCCGAGGACCCCAGCAGGGCCAGTCGCTCCGCGTGGTCCGGTTGGTCCTGCACTGCCGTACATGCCTGCAAAGACCAGAGCGGGTCTGCCTGCAGGGCCATGAATCCCCGTCGTATTTCTCCTGTCGGCTCTTTCTGGCTCTGGCTCTGATTCTGTGGGTTCTTCGGTTGATGCCGACAGCTCGTTCACAACATCGGTGGCTGTGTCGACCGCACCATCCTCAACTTCCACTGTGTGCGTCCCATTCACGTCTCGATGAGCCCGATGATTTTGCTGAACAAAGGCCGTGTCGCCAAAGCCCTGCCAGGGATGTCGGCCGTCTGAAGTCACGTGATAGCTCGCGTCTCGGGATGCAGTGCCCAAATCTTCCCGACGGAGCATCTGGGGTTGAAGCCCATCCTTGTGCCTCTTGTCCTGATTGTGCTGCACTTCGTGCAAACCTGTCGGACATGTAACTGGAACGGACTTGGTTTGAGCCGTGCGCAAGCACTCGCACGTATCTGCGAATCGAAACCACTGACGAATTCAACACCTTATCTAGATTAGAAAGCTCTCAGCACATCAACACTTTCCAGCTCAAGGCACTTGCATGGCCGGTTGCTTCAAGCTCGACGGCGTATGTTGTAGACGATGTTGGGCTGAAGACAAGGAAGAACACCTTCTCGCTGCGCTGCAAAGTTCTGACACTTTGCCAACGCCAGAAACCCGAACTGGATCCAAACAGACGGAAGCCCTGCCTGCAGATGCAGCACCACCCTAGTTTTGAGTGACAATACCATCGCCAATCTCCACGTTCTATGAAAAGCACATGTGCCCTTAAGCACATGAGCTGAAGGCCTGAGCCCTGATACACTGCAGGACATCTCTGTGTAGCGGATTGCTGGTGCATGACTCGAGCACAAGCCGTTTCCACAAGCGATTTCTGGGTGCGCTGACGGGTGCACGGGGGCTGCTGCAGTCCTGGAGATGGAATGCTGGTTCGGTTGGGGCTCCGACAAGCTTTTTTCAAAGCCACCTCCTCTTCAGGCTCTGCCAAGGCAGGAGAGTCGTGTGCATCCTCTGGGCAGCGAGGAAGCATCTACCAAATAACAAACCCGAACATGAATACCAGCTGCTCGACAATTTCCGAGCTGAGGCGCTGATGCTGCCATGGTGCCTCCGGGGCCCTTGAGTAGGACCTTCGTTGCACCAGGCCATGCTCATGTGACGCTGCATTCTCTCCCAAGTATCAGAGTCATCCTGCCTCAACTTCTTCCCCGAAAGTGGACCTGTAGTTGCAAAACTCGACGTTTATCTGCAAGGGCAAAATAGCTGGTTGCCGACATGCAGCGAACTTCAAGCTTAGTGCTGCATATGAGCTTTGGCCGAGGTGTGAATGTAGATGCGAACGAGCATCGAGGTAAGCCGGCTCCGAAAAAAGATCGTGGCCATCCTCTTTCCGCTGGTGCTTCCGACCATTACGTTATGAATGCCTTCCCCAGTGACACTTCTCTGGCCGGAGTGTGAATTCTGGAATTGATGTTCCATAAATGATGTAACATACCATGGTTGGCTCTCTTTGGTATGTGTTGGTCATGTTGGTCAAAAGGCCAAGCCGCAACTGCAGCAATTTGGTAATGGCCCGGGCAATCTAAATAACAAGCTCATGCTAAGTCATCGCGTTGTCTGTGTCTTCAACTCATCAGAATGTGATGCAACGCCTTGCCGTCATGCCACCGCTTCTGGCTCCGCTTGGGCGAATTCTTGTTGGGAAGCAGTTCAGCTGTGATGATCGCCCTACGTGTTGAATCTTTTCGGTTACAAGGTATTTGGGCACCCGTTCCAGGTTCGGTTGGATCTCGTTCCTGTCGAGCTTCTCCGTTTTACACTCTTCCTGATTCCGCCTCCATTTCAGGCCAGAGTGCAGTGCGCAAGACGGCATGTGCGGTTGACACGATACAGCTCTAGCGTCTACAGTAGCTGCTTCTACTCGTGGCCCTGTAGTGAAGCTGATGCAAGTGCTTTGAGCCGTCTGACCTGTAAGTCTGTGAGACGGCAAATGGCACAGCTGCCACAGGCATCCAGGCTCTCATGTAGCCAGTGGCCCAGCCAGCGCTAGCAGCCAGCGACTTCAGCCGCAAGATGCCGCAAGCATGTATGCTCAAACCTCTGCACCATTAATGTGAGTCCTTACTGAGACCCACTAACTAGGCTCGGACACGCAAGCAGGGGGGTCGCACCCAGTTCGATTCGCAGCAGGGACCTCCCGTGTGCAACGAAGCTACGGTTGTCTGTAGCATCCAGATGCGCAGGTTTCCAGCCGGGGTTGCAGGCATTTGTTAGTTGCACCACCACTCAAAAACAACAGGACATGGTCGGTCATCGCAGTGTGGGTGGCTTCAATTCATCAGAGTGCGTCTATATGCATCTGGAACATGCATCTATGTGCCGTGCAGCATGAGGCATGGGCATGCACACAGGATCGACATTGCCACACATCAGTTATCATCAGTGTCCACCGTCCTCGCAGTCGTCATTGCATGTGCATGTCAAGGCACTGATTTCACAACCTTGTCGGCGCAGTAGCATTCTGTCTGTTGATGTATGTTGAATTCTCCGGTTCCTTTGTGAAGTCTCGGATGTCTTGTCGAGTTCAACGAGTTTGGCGAAATTGCTTGGAAAACTTAGAGGCTCCTGCTGCACCACTCAAGTGGAAGGACTAATGCAAACTAATTGCTCTGGCCACCCTGAGCCGATCTGCCGTGTCTAGGACATTCGCGAGGCTGGGACTGCGAGAAAACAGCGATGTAAGCCGCGAGCAATTGCACGTCTTGGTTCTCACCGTCTTCTTCAGCAGCAACTTCTTCTCCAGCTGGCATGCCTTGATCCTGCAGACTGCAACAGCTGAAGTAGCCCCTACGAAGGCACCTGAACGCTGTCCTCAGTTTGAGCGGCTGTCCCTTCCAGCTGATCATCGAAGTCGAATCTTTCCTTTGGCCGCTATTTTGAGCGAGATTGCCGGAAAACGGATGTAGCAGGCCTCCTGATCATCTGAGAACTGCTCCTCGTCAGAGAAATCCCAGCCAGCCTGAGAATCCGCTTGCTCGAATCGGTACTAAGCTTTGTGCACACTGTGTCACTTGACCAAGCCTCGCCCCCTTTCTGTCGCTTTAGCTCATGCAAGCTGCTTGCCACGTCTGGCACTGCCTGGCTGGCTCTCTGATGCTTCTGTCCTAGCTTTCAGGGTCCTAGGCCCAATGGCCAGCTGCCTCCTCTTCGGCACCTTCGCGATGTGCCATCTCCTGCTTTCGGAGAACCTGGCTTTGTGCTTGGATTTATGTGCATGTGGCATCGACGCACATGCATAGGCATAGGCCTTGCGCCGCTTCTCTTCTTGCTTTTTGATGCCAGTCTCATCACTTTGCTGCTTGTCCGGGTAGGCAACCGCGCTGGTTGAAAGCTTCGGCTTACGAGTCAGAGAAGGACCAGCCCGTGGCTCCTCCTGCGGCAAAGTTCGGCGATTTCTGGGAATCCGACACGGGCCCCAGAAGTAACCTCCTTCCCTCGCTTCCGCATTTTATCCCATCGGTCAGAAATCTCCTGGGTCGGTGCGTGTTCATCAGTTTTCGTACCATGTGCGTCGAGTGCTGGGAACACGCAGTAGAACTCTCCGTGCTCGCCATCAATGCCAAGCAGCCTTTCGTTCACAAACTTGCTTCTGAATTTCCATGTTGGCCTTGGTGCTTCAGTGGTTCGAACAACGCAAGAGCACGACACGGTGCTGAAGCTTGGACGGCTTCAGGGGGCCTTGATCATCAAGGAAGGGTCCAACTTTGCAATGCCTCGAGCGAACAACGGGCCTCTTTGCAGGAACGAGCTGCTTGCCCGCACCTTGGACACTCAAAAAGACCGCAGAATATGTTTGGAAAGCAGTGAGGCACGCGGGACCGAGGTCCGGGCCAGCAGAATTTGTTTGTACAAGATCATACCAGCCCTTCACGGGCCTGGCAGGCCAGTCCCTCTCAAAACTAGTAGTCTCGTGATATGCCGAGCCTGATTTCCATGCCACCAGGCACGGGCTCCATGACCTGATCGTCGGAGCAATGCAGGAAGCAAGCATAGCAAGCGTGAAAGGCAGGAATCTCGCCCAGTGGAGGTCTGTCTTCACATCCATCTGCCTCGCCAGTAAGTCGCTCCTCCCTCTACAGTTTCCAGAGCTGGGCCTTCCGGATCTTGAGATGCCGTGGGCGCCCCATGCTGTGCATGTCCCATCGCCTCAGAAAGAGCAACCTTGCTGCTCACAGGCCGTGTGGAGCACCTGTAGAGTGACAGGAACGAAGCGAGAGCCCCACTGCATAAGACTTTGTGCAGCAACAGCCGGTCGGATTTTTGTTCCTCCACTTCTCTTGAGTGGAATGGCACTTACATGCAGTTCCTATCCCTTGTCGAAGCATAGAGGCATAATGACTGCCCGAGACGGTCCGGCAAGGCTGACGGAACGGCCCGGGCGACGTAGAGCTCCTCTTTCCGCGCAGGGGCTCGCCGCACCTGCTGTCTGACATGATGGGTGCTCTTAGGATTTTGGTTCCGAGCAAGTGCGAACCCAAAAAGGCCTGAGGCATCACACCATGTCGAATTCAGTTTGACCCAGGAACCATTGACGCTTGCATTGAGTGTGTTACGAGCTAACCGTGGCTGCCAGGATATAATGTCATGCATGCTGCTGGACCGGAGTTTGAGACTGTAGCCGGATGCTTGAAAGGGCTTCTCTCCATGCTCCGTTCTGGGCAACCAACATGCAAATCCGAGAGCAGGGCAAAGGCTCAATGCATTCACACTGACACAGCTTTCGACGGCGCGGTCTGCTGGCATGCTTTTTAACCAGCCATAACTACTTGCCTAGGGCAATGATGGCCAGTCTTTCGGCAGCGGCTCCCAGCTTCCGTATCATTGCGAAGCAAGCGGCGAATCGTCTTCTGCAAGTCCCATAGATGCCATTGATGCCATCTCTTCCGCTTCCTTCTCTCGCATCTCGAGCTCACGTTCACGCATCTCCAGCTCCTTCTCTCGAATTTGGAACATGTCCAAGATCTTCTGCTTCTTCTGCTGAAGCCCCATCTTGTCCTGAATAATCGCACACTGCAGACCTTTCAGTTCGAGAACTGTAGCTGCATCAGGCCCTGACGGTATCATAGATGGTAGCATGTGCAGCTGCTGTCTTTCCTTCTTTGTCAACTGCCTTTCCAATGCGCCGGCATGCTCGCTACAATGGGGAAGCTTAGTCGATTCACGATAACCGGATACTGTGGCTTCCACGCGAATGTTCGCATTGAACTCCACGAGTTTCTGTGCGACCGGAACCTGCAACGCTTCTGTCTGAAGCAGGGGGCAGAATGTGATGGCTCTCCTTAGCACAAGCCATGCAAGACATGCAAGCTGCACCTGGCCGACCACGGAGGCGTGCATCAGCGGCGTCATGCCTTTCCTGTCCTCACATGCGGCGGTGAGAGCAGAACAGTGCTGCTAGGTCCTTAATCCTTGCTCGGCGGAGCGCTTGCGGTTCTGGAGCACAGTTTAGGCCGGGGCAACCGGGACAGGGTCACAAACAGGTTCCGGCACCGTGAAACATGGTTGAAGCAATTCAGGTATCCCACCCAAACCGCCCCAAACTGCTTCGAACCAGCTTGCTGGAGCTGGAAGATGCTGGAGCAAGCCAAAACACATTTTTGCGGGGCATGACAAACCATCTCGGCCTGTGCAAATTTCCCCAGCCAGTCCCCGATCAGACTCCACATCAGTTTCTAGAGCCCGAACTTTCAGAGAGCAAAAGCGGCTCCGGGGAGTGGTTGCTGCAATTTTTCGTAACACCGGCTTGCACGGTGGAACCCTTCTGCTGCCAGGGATATTCAACAATAAACTAGGTAGATGGCGCGATGCCGCCGGGGAGGGTGTGTCGTTGTGTTGCTATTCATGCTTTTGTCAAGAGCCTGAACATCTTGAGTGTTGTATGGTTTTCGTGAATAGGATTATGCTTTGCAGAGTCCTTCATTTTTTGTTATTCAGGTTTTAGTGTGTTTGTTATTTTTGCGAAAGTGTCGCAAATACCATGGTTATCATTGTTTTGTTGCTTTGCGTCCGTTTGTGAAGCTTTTATTCCGAGAGCCCAAAAAATGCGAGACTTTTGTCTTGGGAGCGTCTCAGAAGTAACATGAAAACAAGCCCATACGTAGCAACATGGTCATTGTGCCATTCTCACCACCGTAGTTATCGTCATCGCCATTGCTGTCCTCCTTATGAACAATCAACGACATCCACAACAACATCAACATCAGAATCATCATCTTCAGCATAATGACGGTCCATGCTATGTCTGCTGTGGGAATACAGCTTTCAGTCTGGAGCTGGCGAGGGTTTTAGCGCTCAGGGTTAAGAAATCAGGCCTCTCTCTGCGGCGGGGCATGCTACTACGAGTAGTACAAGTAGTACAAGTACTATTACTAATACTACTAGTAGTAGCACGACTGCGCAAAAGAGAAACACGACATGTAAGCCGCCTTGGCGTGGACGTTAAAACCCCCCCCATCCTACGTGTGCAGAAAGAGAAACAGTACATGTCGGGCGCTTGGGCATCGACGCTATTCCCCCCTTCCCCACCCCTGCACTAAGCTGAAATACCCATGGAAGTCCAAGCTGTCATGTGCGAAAAAGTGAGTTTCCTGAAATCGAACCTAATTTTGTCAGGAAACCGCTGCAACAACCGATACGAAATGCAGAGCGCAGATTTTTTGTCAAGCAAGCAATGTGCCAAGACTCGACTTCTAGCACATGTCAGCCCTGAAAGAGCCAGGGCAATAACGTAGGAGATCGAAGGAATGCCAATAGCTACAAGCGCTTATTCAAAACGGTGTGCCGTAAAGCCGCTTCGATCAAGGGTTAATTAGGTGGTCAGCAATGCTTTTGAGCCCAGCTGTCAGGGAGGTCGATGTGCGCGTTTCGCTCCAGCAGCTCCTGTAGGAATGTGAAGCATTGGGCAATTCCACGGCCAAAGTGTGGTCATGGACGTGGCACAAGCTAAAACCCTGCCTCCACAACGTGCAGCTGCCCTTTTTCGGCTGCCCAGCTCAAAGGAGTCCGACCGGTGACATCACGCACCTTCCCACCGACGATCACCGACCCTTCAAGAGCCTCATCGGCCTGTCTCCCACCTCCATGTCGGCACCGTTCTCGAGAAGTATGGAAGCCACCTGGAGGCCCATTTGTCCAACACATGGCAAGCAACCTTGCGGAGAGCACCTCCAGCCAACCTCTTTGTGCAGCCAATGTCAAGGCAGTAACCTCGTCGCAAGTCACATCATGTCCATTCTTTGGCAGTGCTCTTAAGCTCTCTGAGACACAGACTTCAGTGTCTATCTGCAGTTGATTCACCTCTGCCCCCCAGTCAAGCAACTTTTGGACCACCTGGCGAAGACTTTGGATGTTAGAAATTGCAGTTTTAGCATGCATGACAATGCACCCACAGCAGCACATCATATCACAACAGCACACATGAGAGGTTGCTGCTATGCCTCTCCATGGCCATTCTGAGCGGCTCCCAGAAGTGCCGTTCCCCTGGGAGCATCATCTGGCTTGACATTGCAAGTGTCCAGGTCCTGACGAAACAACCCGAAGCATGTTACCGTGTGTCATCTCCGTGCCGGGATCGAAAAATCTACACTCCTCTTCTTCCCAAGGGCCATCATCTACCTGGCGAGAGTTGAGTATGGAGGCCGTTTATTGCCTCCCGACGGACACGGCAGTCTACATGTGCTGGCTCCTGTGTCAGCAAGTGCTGGCCGGTGGTTAGGAGCAAGGCAGCAACGGCCTCCGTGCTGCCCTGGGTCAGGATTCCGCGGTACGAACACTCACCGCAGCCACTGGGGCCAAAGGCTATGTGGCCAAGCAGCCTCTCTTGCTGCGTAGATGAAAGCTAGCTTCTGCAAGGCAGCTGGGCTCGGTATCGCTGCTTCCACGAGGTCGCCCCCACGCATCCTGGGAAAACCGAGTGCCTCTCTTGCAAAGTGCTAGCCGTGTGGCCGTGTCATGTCTCGAGCCAGCGGCTCCAACAAAGCCATGGCCGTGGCTTTCTTTCCCATCTTCTGGACCTCATGTTCCGGTCAGACCGAATACACATAGCGATGCACCCGAAAGGCCTCCGGTAACTTCTCGGCGAAGGCGTCGCTGAAGGCCTGGACCGTAACCAAAATCAAGCAAGTCAGAGTCTCTGCTGCCCCTGCTGAGGGGACCTGGTGGCGATGATGGACTTTGTAGTTGCGCTGCTCCGGGTCCCGATCTGGCACCTGGAGACATTTACTAAAACTACCCAGCGGCATGGCTCCGCCCTCCCCTCATCTTCTGGGCTGCACACCGGCCACAGCACGCAGTAGGGCTGCGCATCCGGTCGCTTCCTGCGGTTCCAGCATATGACGGGGCAAGGACGAAGCACAAAACACTCTCTGAGCCTGAGTTGCATGGCAGCTCCAACGTCCAGCAGGAACTTGAGCAAAGCCTGAATGAAGACGTAATCGAACCATCAAAACATCTAAAGCCATTTGCGAAGCTTCATCAAAGCCCAAGCCGGAGATCTGAGAGTTCAGCTTGATCAAGCGGGATGGCCATCTCTTTGCCTGAGCCATGTGCGCTCCGACTCTCCGCTCATTCCGCTCATGCTTTAGCAGCTGAGGTGCTGTGAATGTCCCATTCAAGATGTGAGACATCGATCTCCCCCTGCTCGCCCAGAATGCCACGCACCGTCACCTAAAATCAGGGACCAGGAGAGGCAAAGCCAAGTTCAACAAACCGGCCAGCGGAGAGCCTCGACATTGCTTTCCACGAGCTTTCGGAGAGATGCGATTGGTGCCTGCCCCAAAAACAGCTAGGGTTTGTCGAAAATGCCGTTCCTTTCATCGAGTGTTCCTTATTTGCCGTTCAGCCTGTGCCTGAGAGTCAGCGATCCGTGTTCTGCAAAGAGCTTTTTTCCACGACAGCGCTGTTGTCCCACCCCCGACCTGCCTTGCCCAGATGAACATTCTTCATGAGTCTTTTGAGGTGATTCTTCCTGACCAGCAAAGGCATGAGAAGCTTGACACCGGACTTTCGCATGGTCTGTAAGCCTTTCTTGCAGTGCAAGGTCTCCGCGAACCTACAAAGCACCAGAATTTGACCCTGCAGAAGCTCCACAGCTTCCTTGTTCTCTCGCCTTATGAACCTGATCCAAGTCCAACATCTCGCAGGCTTCTTGACACACTTCGGCGACCTGGCTTGACTTCCGACTGCCATCCTCTGAGTCTACACATGTTACAGGTGCCTTCGTGCCCATCAGCAAGCAAGACACGGTGCTCAACTTTGATCGATCACAGTTGGTCACGAGGTTGTCCATGAATCTGCGAGGCTCATCAAGCGGCATTGATGAAAGCCGGCATGACACGTTATTGCATTTGCGAAGGTGTTCGGCTCTCAGGATTAGCCAGAAACTGTTTCATCTTGCTGTTCGAAAGTGGCACAATGCTTTCAGCGGTGGCGGCGAAATACTGTCCCCGGAAAGCTCTGCAGGGCGTCAAAGGAGACTACGCAAACTTTGTGGAACGATGTTCAGCGCCGTTGTCCAGCACAGTGCAACGGATGTGCAAAGTAGGTTGCAGCCAGCCTTTTCACTCCGGTGTCCGTCACCGTGCGGCACCCTT